TGGATATCTTGATTAATTGGGTATTCCTGATCCTTCTCACACATCTCCTCCTGAGGTGAAAGGGGTCCAGGATGGATACCAGGTGATTTCCAAGGGTGGAATGGTAAAGGTCAGCAAGGGAAAATAGGATTGATGGCAGAAAGGTTTAATGGGTTCAGAGAAGGTGTGAAGATTAATATTTATTTGCAATGACAGAACAACTCTACAAATCAAGTTGATTTGTTTATAATATTTATTTGAGGGGCTCTCAGTCATATGATTGCCAAAGGTTGAAGCCAACTTGACATCAATTAGCAACAATGAAGAATGTTTAAAGGGGGTCACTGAGATCTGGGAAAGAGTCTGACCAGAGTCTGGAAGGTGCATATGCACGCCTGTAAAGGACTGCAATCCTAAACACCGTTGACTCTGTCAATTTCTATTGGAATCAATAAGATCTATTTTGCTTCCAATACACATACTTAGAATCAAGTTGTTAAGGTGTTTTGTAACAATAGCTGTCATTATGTGAACATGTGAAGATACTGGAGCCAGATGGGAGAATCACAGAATCAACTTTAGTAGTAAGAGTCCTCATGGGCCATCCAGTCCAACCCCCTGCCAAGAAGCATGAAAATTCCTTTCAAAGCATTCCTGACAGATGGCCATCCAGCATTTGTTTAAAAGCCTCCAAAGAAGGAGCCTCTGCTACATTCTGGGGCAGAGAGTTCCACCGTTGAACAGCTCTCACTATCAGAAAGTTCTTCCTAATGTTCAGGTGAAATCTCATTTCCTGTAGTTTGAAGCCATTGCTCCATGTATTAGTCTCCAGGGCATCAGAAAACAAGCTTGCTCCCTCCTTCCTATGACTTCCCCTCACCTATTTGTACATGGCCCTTATCTTGTCTCCTCTTAGCCTTCTCTTCTGCAGGCTAAACATGCCCAGCTCTTTAAGTCATCTCTCACAGGGTTTGTTCTCCAGATTCTTGATCATTTTAGTCACCCTCCTCTGGACACCTTCCAGCTTGTCAACATCTCCCTTTAATTGCAGTGCCCAGAATTGGGTACAGCATAATTCCAGGTGTGGTCTGACCAAGGCAGAATAGAGAAGTAGCATGACTTCTCTGGATCGAGACACTATACTCCTATTTGTGTAGGTTAAAATCCCATTCGCTTTTTTAGCCAATGCATGACATTGTTGGCTCATGTTTAACTTGATGTCCATGAGGACTCCAAGATCATTCCAAGAAGGAATGGGTTTATCTGGGAAAATAAGTTACAACAAGTTAAACAACAAGTTAAACATGAGCCAACAATGTGATGTGGCGGCAAAAAAAGCCAATGGGATTTTGGCCTGCATCAATAGGAGCATGGTGTCTAGATCCAGGGAAGTCATGCTACCCCTCTATTCTGCTTTGGTTAGACCACATCTGGAATATTGTGTCCAATTCTGGGCACCACAATTCAAGAGAGATATTGACAAGCTGGAATGTGTCCAGAGGAGAGCGACTAAAATGATAAAAGGTCTGGAGAACAAGCCCTATGAGGAGCGGCTTAAGGAGCTGGGCATGTTTAAGCCTGAAGAAGAGAAGGCTGAGAGGGGATATGATAGCCATGTATAAATATGTGAGAGGAAGCCACAGGGAGGAGGGAGCAAGCTTGTTTTCTGCTTCCCTGGAGACTAGGACGCGGAACAATGGCTTCAAACTACAAGAGAGGAGATTCCATCTGAACATGAGGAAGAACTTCCTGACTGTGAGAGCCGTTCAGCAGTGGAACTCTCTGCCCCGGAGTGTGGTGGAGGCTTTGAAACAGAGGCTGGATGGCCATCTGTCAGGGGTGATTTGAATGCAATATTCCTGCTTCTTGGCAGAATGGGGTTGGACTGGATGGCCCATGAGGTCTCTTCCAACTCTTTGATTCTATGATTCTATGATAAGGGACAGGGGATCCTTTTTAGGGATGGTTCTCTGAGATGTTTGGAGCTCAGTGTGAGTTTATGCTGAAATGGTGTGGATGAGAAGTGTCCTTCGGCCAGTCGCAAACTGAGATGACGGGTGAAATTAAAATGTGGAGTTTAGAATGGCAAGGGCTTTACACACATATTTTTTTTCTTAGAAGGAAAAAGCAAATGATCTAAACCTAAGAACAGCTTTTGGCTCATTCTCTTGAGGTGAAACATTGTAGTTGCTGGTTTTTGCACACGAATTTGGAACTAGGTTTGTGTGAAAGAAGTTCGATGGATTTCCTTCCCCACATTTTCTTATAAGGGCCAAAAAAATAGAGTGAAAACCTAGAATGAGGGATGGATGTAACGTTAGCTATTCCTGTAGAAATTTAAAGACCTAATCCCCAAAGGCAAGGTACCTGGGAAGATGACAGCAGCTGTGAGTAACTCATGGCTGGTTTATGCCAAGACTTTTGGCCTGAGAAAATAGACTCCAGGGAGATTTGGATGTCAAGGTTTGGTTTATAGGTGATTTGGAGTTTCTACTAAAACAGCACCTCAGGGCAAAGAGAATTGTGGTTAGGTGGGAAAGGAAGGGTCACTGTCTTTATAGTTTTTGAGAAGGATGGATTGGCAAAGCAGGCTCTGGGTGCAGGCCTGGGCATACACAAATCTTTCAACATCATTTGAGCATATCCTGTGCTGACACATGGCAGGTTAACAGAAGTAATTAAACCCCTGAAAATGCATAAAATATTTAACTCCCAACATATCATAGAGAGGCTGAGGAGGACCGAGTAACAGCTTCTGAAGCAAAGTATATTGTGATGATCCCTCATTATCCTTAAAACAAACAAGCATCTAAAGCATGAACACAGGCCAACCTACATCAGTGCACTAAGAATCATAAAGAAACTATGAAGTGAACTATGAATTCCCTGATGTGTGCCTTTTGCTTCTATAGAGAATGGGCCATGGATCTGTGGCTGTCATGGCTTAATGCTACAGTTTGGAGAGGCACCAGCATTAATTGAAAAAAAAGAAGAAGCTTTTTTTCATTTTAAGAGTGATCTGAGAAACTGCAAGTTGCTTCTGGTGTGAGAGAACTGGCCATCTGCAAGGGCATTGCCCAGGAGACGCCCGGATGGTTTACCATCTTGCGGGAGGCTTCTCTCATGTACCCACATAAAAAGCTGCAGCTGATGGACAGGAGCTCACCCCGCTCACCCACTGTGCCACTGGGGGTTCCATGTGAGAAAGCTAAAGACCATGCAGAAGGACAACTTTCAGCATTCCGTGGCACTGACCCATAATAATAATAATAATAATAATAATAATAATAATAATAATAATAATAATGATAATAATAATGTGTGGTCAGGGAGAATCTTACATTCAATTACTGAAGGCACATTGGAATAACTAGGTTTTCAAATTCCTCCTGAAGATTGCCAGTGTGGGGGCTTGCCCATAGCAGTTATGATAGTGTCAAACTCCACTGATTCAGAAGTGGAGATGCAACCAGGATGAATTTGAATAAACTATTGAAAAAGGAAAAATCCCAGTTCTCTTCTGGTCTGCCAAAAGGAACCAGGTGGGGAGTTACGGGGAAAGGAGAAGAGAAGTTTAGGAGAAGAAAAGGGGAAGGGGAGGAAAAGGAGAAAGGATGGAGGGAGGAGGAGAGAGAGTGGGATGGGGAAAGTAAAGGAGAAAGGAAAGGGGAAGTCAAGGAGAAGTAGAAGAGAAGGGGAAAGGGAAGTCAGGGGAAGTCAAGGGAAATAGGAGGAGGAACGTGAAGGGAGAAGGAAAGTTTCTAGGTGAAAAAAGTTTAGAAGAAGGGAAAGGGAAGGTAAAGAGGGGGAGAAGAGGAGGAGTGGGGAATGGAAAGTCAAGGAAAGGAAAAGGGAACTGGATGGAATTGGACACAGTATTCCAGGCGTGGCCTGACCAAGGCAGACTAGAGGGGTAGCATGATTTTCCTGGATCTTGACACTATCCTATTTATGCTGGCCAAAATCCCATGGGCTTTTTTTGCCACCACATGACATCCTTGGCTCATGTTTAACTTGTTGTCCTGTTGTCCGCAAGAACTCCAAGATCTTTTTCACATGTACTGCTGTTGAGCCAGGCATCGCCCCCCATTCTGTATCTTTGCACATGGACAACAGGGATGAATTTGGATACATAGGAATCCCAGCTCTCTTCTGGTCTGCCAGAAGGAACCAAGTGGAGAGCTGAGGGGAAAGGAGAAAGGAAGTTTAGGGAAAGGAAAGGAGAAGGGGAGGAAAGGGAGGGGAGAGAGTAGGAAGAAGAAGGGAAAGGCAAGGGAAAGGGAAGTAAAAGAGAAGTAGAAGGGAAGAGATGGGGAAAGGAAAGTCAAGAGAAAGAGGAGGCAGGAGGCAAAGGGAGGAGGAAAAATTTAAGGTGAAGAAGAGTTAGAAGGAGGGAAAGAGAAGGAGAAAGGAAAAGAAGGAGGAGGAGGAGAGGGGAAAGGGAAGTAAAGGAGAAGTAGAAGGGAAGAGAGGGGAAAAGGAAGTCAAGGGAAAGAGGAGGCGGGAGGTGAAGGGAGAAGGAAAGTTGATGAACAGTCTTGAGAAGGGAATGGGAAGGAAAAGGAAAAGAGGAATAGGAGGAGGGAAGAGGAGGAGAGGGGAATGTGAAGTAAAAGAGAAGGGAAGAGAAGGGGAAAGGGAAGTCAAGGGAAAGAGGAGGAAAGAGGCAAGGGAGAAGGGAAGTTTTTAGGTGAAGAACAGTTAGGAGGAGGGAAAGGGAAGGAAAAGGAAAAGAAGGAGGAGGAGGAGAATGAGAAGGTAAGAGGAGGAGAGGGGAAAGGGAAGTCAAGGGAAAGAGGAGGCGGGAAGCGAAGGGAGAAGGAAAGTTTTTAGGTGAAGAATAGTTTAGGAGAAGGGAAAGTGTAAGGAGGAGGAAAAGAGGAGGAGGAAAGGAGGAGAGAGAGGAATGGGAAGTCAAGGAAAGGAGATGGGAAAAGAGAACTGGATGGAAATGAAGGAGGAGGGGAGTGGGAAGGGAAGAGGAAGAGATGGGGAAAGGGCCCCCCTCCCTGGGTTCGTACCTGTACCAGGCGAGTCCCCGGTCGTAGTTGCGGTCGAAGAAGTGGGGCTCGGCGCCGGCGGCCCGCACGTCGGGGTGGACCCTGAGGAACTCGAGCAGCGCCCTTGTCCCGCCCTTCTTGACCCCGATGATCACGGCCTGGGGGAGCCGCTTGGCGCCCTCCCCGCCGGGCAGCGGGGCCACCCCGAAGGGCTCCTCCTCCACCGGGACCGGGACGGGGACCGGGTCGCGAGACAGGAGGCGCGCCGCCCCGGCCAGGCAGTAGCTGCCGTAGAGAGACATGAGGAGCGAGCCCACGAGCAGGAGCAGCCTCCGGAGCGCGCGGCGGGGAAGGGGCTCCGGCCCGGGAGGAGGAGGAGGCGGCGGCGGAGGCAGCACAAGCGGAGGAAGGAGACCAAGCGGAGGAGGTGGAGGAGCAGGAAGCGAGGAGGAGGAGGAGGAGGAGGAGGCGGGGGGCGCCCCTCCCCGGGCCATGCTAGGCGCCCATGGCCCCTCGGCTCGGCCGCTCAGCACCCGAGGCTCCCCCCTTACGCCCCCTCCTCCTCCTCCTCCTCCTCGTCTTCCTCAGGGAGCATCCGAGACGGAACTGGGGCGCATCGATCTCCAAGGCTGGCCCACTCCCTCCTTGGATGACAGCTCCGAGGGAGTCCTCTGCGCCTGTTCGAGGGTCTTCCCTGGCCTTTCTTGCTCCGCGCTCAGGAAGAGAAAGGATTCCTCTGACCCCACGGCTGTCCCCTTTTCTATGGGATCTCTCTCTCTCTCTCCTTCCTTCCCTTCCCTTTCCTTCCCTTGCCTCCCCTCCTCGCTGCCCGGCTGCTCCAGCGGCTGCCACACGTGGAGCTCTTGATTGTGGCAAAAACTTCGCGGAAAGGCGCCGCCCCGCTTGAGTGACGTCTCCAGAGCGAATGAGAGCTCGCGGGAGGGAAAAAGAAGGCGGGTCGGGTCGGTCTTTCAGATTGGGATCCGAATAGGGAGAAGGAGACGGCGGCTAATGGGGCCACGCCCCCCTCGTGGGGGTCCCACCCGGGAAGGGGCGCTCGCTTCTGCTCAAGCGGGGCGTCCAAAGCTCCCCAGCCTGGATGCAGGTCGGAGGCCTTCTGCGTCCCGCCACCCGCTCACCCAGGGCTCCTTCAACGTGTCGGAGTGCATCATTCCAAGCCAACGCATTCAGAGGGCGACACAGACCTTGTTCTGCTTCCCACTCGCTTCTCTCGTAACCTCCGTCGGGAGCTGGCTGTTGGTCCTCCTCCTTCCTTCCATGGCTAACCAGTGGAGGTTTCCCTTGTGTCTGGCCAGGCTTCAGGACCGAGCAAAGCTCCCGAAGCCGGGCTGAGGCTGCTCCGACACTGTAGGATGAATGCAGTTTTGGCGCCTCTTGAACTGCCCTGGCTCAACGCAATGGAATCCAGGGATTATAGTTTGGCAGAGAAGGCGAAAGATCTTCTGAAGGTATAGCATCAGGATCATTCCATAGCATTGAACCATAGCATTGAAACCCACAAGTATGTGGACAATTTCAACAGAAAGGAAGAAACTATGAAAATGAACAAAATCTGACTACCAGTATTTTTTTTTAAAAAACTCTACAATTATAACAGTAAACAAAAAAAAAAACCCTCAAACACAGGGGAACTCCAGACAAGAAACAATCAGCAACAGGTAATCACTTCTCAACAAAGAATTCCCTCAGGCAGTAACAAGGCACACCTAAAACTTGTCAGGCCATCAAATGCTAATCAAGGTGGCCAACTGAAACATTCCAACAGACAAGAGTTCCTTCTCCCACCCTGGACCTTCCACAGACATATAAACCCAATTTTCCTAGTTTCCAACAGACCACACAACCTCTGCAGATGCCTGCCATAGATGCAGGCGAAACGTCAGGAGAGAATACTTCTAGAACATGGCCGTACAGCCTGAAAAACCTCTAACAACCCATAGCATAGCAGTTCAGGTGGGGCCAAACTGTACTGATTCTTCATTGTGGATGTACTCTCAGCTTCAGGCTCTGCCCACTTGACCATTCCCTTTTGCCCAGTTTGAAAAGCAACATAGTGTCTCTTCTCTGTGGAGTGGGGAAGGATGAACAAAAGGGAAGACCTTCAAGGAACCTTGTAGCGCCTTTGAGACTGAGAGGAAGAGGTTGGGTAGCAAAAACATTACTAAATTAGGTTTGCAGGAGTCTACTGTATACCAAGTAGCTGTGGACAAGTCTACATAGGGACCACCACACGCAGCATTGCCCAAGCACAAATCAAGGAACATGAAAGGCACTGCAGACTAACTCAGCCAGAGAAGTCAGCCATAGCAGACGAACCAACCTGGACTCAGCTGCATATTATTTGAGAACACAGAAATGCTGGGCCACTTGAACAACTATCATGTCAGGCTACACAGAGAAGCCACTGAAATCCACAAGCGTGTGGACAATTTCAACAGAAAGGAGGAAACCATGAAAATGAACAAGATCTGGCTACCGGTATTTTAAAAACTCTAGAATCAGGACAATAAGTAAAGAACAACACTAAAAAAAACCCAGGAAAATTCCAGACAGGAAACAGTCAGGGCCAGGTAATACCTCCCAACAAAGTATCCCCCCCAGGCAGGAAGCAGCCAGGCTTTGAAGCTACAAGGCTATTCAATGTTAATCAAGGTGGCCAATTGCAACATTCACACTTGCCTCAGGCAGAGAAGAGTTCTTTCTCCCACCCTAAACATCCCACAGATATATAAACCCCACTTGCCTAGTTTCCGTACAACCTCTGAGGATGCCTGCCATAGATGTTGGCAAAATGTCAGGAGAGAATGCTTCTGGAACATGGCCATACAGCCCGGAAAACCCATAGCAGCCTACTAAGTCTACTTAGGCCATGTGTACTAGTGAAGTAGACTCTGGATGTGTCTACCCTGTAGAATGAATACAGTTTGATATCACTGTAGAATGAATGCTGGATTCCATAGCATCTCCATGGTTCAATGTTATGGAATCCAGGGATTTGCGGTTCATAAGGTTCTTTGCCTTCCCTGCCGGAGAGTGCCAGTGCCTCATCAAAGTGCCATTCCCAGGAATTCAGAGCATTGAGCCATGACATGTTCAAGTGGTGCATTCATTCAACGGTGTAGATGCACCCAAAGTCTGAAAATGTATGCTACCAACTTCTTCCTTTCAAAGGTGCTACAAGATCCCCTTGTGAATGGGAAGACAGGCAGAGATTCCTCATTGTCAATATTATTCCAGGACCCCCATTTGCCATGCAACAATGAGAAAATATGCAATCCACTAGCATTCCTTCTGTCACACAGCTAGAACAGGAGACTTATCTCTATGGCTTCTTTTGGAATGAGGGAAAGTGAACAAGTTAAGCAAAAAAGAAAAACAAACACCTGTTGCCTTGAAGGTTGAAATACAAGTTTGGAGGTAGAAAAAGAACACACAGGATCTCTTGAACAAATTGCCAGATAAAATCCCACCGCAAAATAATCCCCTCACCTTCCCCGGTTTATTATGGTCCTCTTGTAACTGTCCTCTGAAATTGCACAGTGAATCAAAATTATAGGATTTTATACAACCGTCCACAAGGACAACAAACATGGTTTGCTTTAAAAAGAGAAAGGAAAAGGAGAAAATGGATTGTCATCTAGCTTCCCAGCAGACTTCTTTTCCCTTTAAGCATTGTTAGGAAAGGAAGAATAAAGCCAATTGGTGTAGCATTTTCATCATGGCTAAAAAGCTTGCTTTGTAAAGTTATGGGTAATGGCAGAAGAAAAGGTGATAACCTGAGGATGAAACAGACAATTGCATAGGCAATGTTGAAAGTAGCTTATACTCACTTTCACAAGCAAAATACTTGATCTCTACTTTGAAAAATACATAAAACAAGTACAAAGAATCATTCAATAGTTGTAAAACACCTTCTAACAAATTATTCCCCCAGGCAGCAACCAGCCAGACTTTGAAGTTGCCAGGCCATTAAATGCTAACCAAGGTGGCCAATTGCAACATTCACACTTGCCTCAAGCAGACAAGAGTTCTTTCTCCCACCCTAGCCATTCCACAGATATATAAACTTCACTTACCTAGTTTCCAACAGACCTCACAAACTCTGAGGATGCCTGTCATAGATGTGGGTGAAACGCCAGGAGAGAATGCTTCTGGAACATGGCCATACAGCCTGAAAAACTCACAGCAATCCAGTGGTAAAATCCCTCAATCAAATTACAGATTTCACTGCCTTCCAGTTCCAGCATCCATTCCCAACACAATACCTATAGGCAAAGTTGAGAGATGTTCTCACACAACTATTTTATTGCACAACCTCCCTTGTGTATTTGCAACAGTTGATCCACACTTGCCATCCTCCAACATTCCTCTTCATACAGTGGTGAAAATCCAGAGCAATTGCACTTCTGAGACATGTTTTCTCCTATACAGACTGCCATGCCTATACTGGAAAGACAGTGTGTGTACATGGATACACATGCCTACACTTTTTAATTTTTTCTCATCACAACAGTTTTTCTCAGAAAGTGAATAATATGTAACTCCTTTGCATTTCATCCTCAAATGCCTCATAGTAAGAGCATCATTATTTCATAGCCTGCGGGGAAGTCGTTTTCACTTGAAATTCTGTTCGTTGCTTTGAGAGATGTAGACAAATGGTGCCCACTGCTCTAACACATTTGACTCAGATCTTCTCATATTTATTTGGTATTTAAATTTAGCTCTGATGCTAAACTTTGTTGGCTTAGAACAATACTTTGAATAGTGTATTATCTTCTGTGACTGAACAAGCAAAATGAAGTACTGCCCCCTTCTAGACTGTCCTCATATCCCACGATGTGATCACTGGTTATCTGCTTTGAACTGGATCAGGCATGTAGCCGGGGGGGGGGGGCTCGGGGGGCTTCAGCCCCCCCCCCCAAATTCTCATGGTGGTTCGCGAAAAGGCCTTACTGGTGCATTATTTAAACTGTTATGTTTATTCATATCATGATCTGATCACCATACTCAATATATCCCATATGCATGGGGGTATTGGGGTAACGATACAAAAGGTTTGCTAGGCTAGACCCTCTTTCACTCAGACTCAGCCCCCCCCACAAACTCAGCCCCCCCGAAACCCCCCCTGAAAAAAATTCAGCCCCTCCCCCCAAAACAAAATCCTGGCTATGGGCCTGAACTGGATTATATGAGTCTTCACTGACATATAATCTGTGATAAGCAGATAATCTGGGATCAAATCCTGGGATATAAGGACAGTCTAGAAGGGGCTTCTGTCAAATTCCAGTCCATTTCAGTGGTAGATGAATACATACATCTACAACTGCATACATATTAACTTGGCAGCAGATCTGTAACAAGTGTGCACTGTCCTAGCAGTAAATCCCTTTGAAATCAGTTCCATATACATTACCAGACCCACAGGGACTCTTAGCAAGCTTTTCACGTGGTATGCTGCTCCATCGAAAATTATTTTCCTTTCCTATTTGTTAGGAATCAAGAGCTGTTAGGCTCAAAAATAACCCTCACTTGGGGGCGATTCCACAAAAATATAGCAGAGTGCCAGAAGCACAGTTCATAACCAGAAGAAACTTACATGCAGAGAGCAAGGATTAGTTTCCATTCGGCAGGATGGAACAGGATTGCAGATCCACTATTTTATAAGATCAAGAATAATATGTTTATTAAAGTAAAAAGAAATCCATCTGGATAGGAAAAGTTCTTGGAGCTAACTAGTTTCACTGAGCTATCTTCTAAGGAAAAGAAAAAGGAAAAATAACAAAATAGCTATGCCTGGAGAACAAGGGAAGAAAGAAAGAGGCCAAAATGGAGAATTGACCACATGGCCTCACTGGGGCAATAAAAATACCTTTAAAGAGGAAATTTAAAGGTATTTTTACACTGCTAAGTATTTAAAGGGGGAGGAGATAGTGGCATGCAGGATGAGTAAGGCAACACCCCTTCTAAGCCC